CTGAGACATTATTGGAGAGGGAAAAGGCTGAACCGTTATCAGGAAAATTGTAGTTATTAGCCTATGTTGTCTGTTCCTCACCTGGTTCCCTGTCGATATGGGTGAGTTTTGATCACAGGTAAATGAGGCCACGTGTCTTTTTTTTTTTTTTTTTTTTTTTTAAAACCATAAAAACCATCTTGTCTTGGTCATAAGTTATTTTGGTTGATCTCTGCTCTTTTCTTCATCTGTTCTTTAATGTTATTGAAAGCAGCAGCAGAGCCCCTCTCAGCTGTTAGCACACCCTCATGCTACATGTCTAGCCAGTCACTTGAGATGTAATTGTTGTTGTGTTGTATTTTGTTTCGTATCATATGATTAGAATTATGTGCAATTCATACAGGTTCCTTTCAGTACCCTTCACAGTGCTCCATTTAATCCACTCACTGATATAACAGTATCTGAGAAATGTATATCATGGATTTGAGTGCAATTCGTATACCGCTCCGCAGTACTGCGTAAAGACCTTTTTAGTAAGGGCTGTGAACACATCATGGCATACCTGGATGCAGCTGTTTTTACCCCACAGTGATTAACACAGGTGATAACTGCTGTCGGACTATTGTGCTACTGTGTGTGTTTGTGTGGCCTTGTGAACACCAACATGCCATTCTTTTTCTTCTTTTGCTGCAGCCATGTTTGTGAAACCACAAAACAGAGTCTCAAGTCACTGGTGTAAAAGTCCGAGTCAAGTCACAAGTCTTAGAACATTTTTTCAAGTCAAGTCTAAAGTCATAAAATTAATGACTCGAGTCTGACTCGAGTCCAAGTCATGTGTCTCGAGTCCACACCTCTGCATTGAGCAATCCATCCATGTCAATTATGCTCTCGTTCTGATACCCCCACCCCCATTCCAAATAAATTAACACTCCTGGCAGCAACTTTCACAGCTACATCAGGCACAAAATAAGGCATGCTTCTTATTAAATATGGTGCATTTAGCAGTAAATTGCCTGCCACAAATATTTGAAAATCATGTATTATTTATTTAAATACTCTCCTCCCCAAACTTTGCATTCTCATAACTGTGACAGTCGTTTCAGTGCATTTGGGCATCACTACACCTATGCATACAATCAAAGCGATAAGCAGTCCACTCATGGTGACAAAAATTTGGCTATAGATCCAGTCCTTATGACGCTACATGCTGTCATGGGGTACAAGGTACGTTACACCACAGACAGGTCGCCAGTCTGTCACGGGGCTTAAGGTTGGATATGACACTCCCATCCGTCCATAAAGCCACTTT